ACTCAGCATCGTGTCCCAGACCAGTTGAGTCGTGCAGTGGCTGCAACAGAACTGCACAATCGTGATCCAGACGATCTGCGTCGTCACCAACTTGAGGATCCCCTGTGGAAAGAGGTGATCGAATATTTAGAGGAACGGAATTTGCCACGTCGTCGCCTTCCTCTAACTCTTGAAGAGTTTGAGCTTCGAGATGGAGTTTTATACCATGTTCGTCACCTCCCAGATCGAGTACTCCATCAGTTAGTAGTGCCAAAGACACTTAGGGGTTCTGCCATGCATTTAGCTCATTCAAGTGCAACAGCAGGTCACCCTGGGGTCTACAGGACATATTGTAAGCTCAGGGATTACTTTTACTTCCCTAACATGTTGGCTGCCGTCAAAGAATATGTTGGTACATGTCGATCTTGCCAGAAACGTAAGGGTATGGCTTATCGTGCTCCTCTTGCTGCTGCACCACAGGCCAGTTACCCACTGGAAAGGGTATCTGCAGACCTAATGGAACTGGAAGTGACCTCCCAAGGCAATAGATATGTATTGGCTTTCATAGACCAACTGATATGTTCAGTTGATACCTCTGCCATCCAAGGATGCAGAGACTGTGGCTGATGCTTTTATTAATCAGTTCGTGACTGTGTTTGGGCCACCTCGTTTATTGCAAACAGACAATGGCCGAGAATTTAAAAACAATTTATTTAAGAGGGTGTGTGAGTTAGCCAGTGTACAAACTATTTTCACTACTGCTTTCCATCCCCAAGCTAACGGGATGATTGAACGCACCAATCGGGTGGTGAAAAACGCCTTGGCAACTCTTCTGGAGGCTTCTCCCTTAGAATGGGATGAACTTTTGCCATATGTTCGTTTGGCCATGAACAGTGCGGTACACCGCTCAGTAGGTGATCAACCTCTCTACTTGTTGACTGGACATATTGGCACCTATCCTGTTGGCAATAGCAATTATGAGGAGACACAGTCTTTTGCTGCTAGGTTGAGGAGAGCTAGAGAGATTGCCGTGGAGACGTCAGTGCAGGCCAGAGAAGGCTGGGCCCGGGATTATAATCGGCGAACCCGCAAGTCCACCTTTGCTGCTGAGGTTGGTGATTTAGTCCTCTTTAAAGACCTTCCTCGCATGGCTGGAGCAGGACGGCGTGGAGCTCTTGGTCCCCGGTGGTTTGGCCCGGCTCGTATTTGCAAGAAGACCGGTCCTGTAACACGGTTGGTTAGGGTTCTCTCTCCTCCTTACAAGGAGAAGATTTACCACCTCAATCAGCTGAGGCCTTACAGGACGAATGATGAACTCCACCTGCCAGATGAGGATGAGCTAGATGAGGATGGGGACGTGGACGATCCTCCTCCTTTAGACGGGCTCCCGGAGGATGATCCTGCAGTTGCTCTCTTGGCTTCCTTTTGCCGACCTCCTGACCATGGTTAGCCTAGATTGGTCTCCCTCTTTGTTTTTGCTTGAAGGCTGTGCCAGTGAGAGGTTTTGTGTTGTGAGTGTTCAGTGTCGTAATAGAAAATGCTCTGAAAACGAATAAGTGCGTGAAAATTAATGTATCAGCAGTGTTGAATGACATAAGAAATTGTGCATTAACATTGTATGTGCCGTGTATTAATCTGAATTGTATTCTTCCAGCCCAAGTCGAGATGATGAGTTCTGTATTTCATGGCAGTGTATTCATGGTAATGTATTTACACCTCTCCAACATGTGGTTGGTCTTCTTCTTTGAGGTCTTTTTTATGTTTAATCTTAAGTTTATATATTTGCTTCTTAAATTTGTGCTTGATTTTTATGTAATTTAGTTCTGTATAATTCTGAAGTTTGTAGCTTTTAAGTTTACTTTTAAGTTTTTATGTATAAGTTGTATTTTTAAGGTCCATTAATTGTAAGCTTAATTTTAAGTTTGTTCTTAAGTTCATTTTGTATTTCTTATGTAAAAGTTTTGTATTTAATTTTAAGTTTGATTTTGTTTCATTTTATCTTGTGTTTTATTTTATGTGTTGGGCCCATTGATTTTATTTCATTTTTTCGGTTTATTCTGTCTTTCCTATTCTTTCAGCCTGGGTGTGATTGCTTGCTGGGTCGTCGTCCTTTGCCTTCTTCGCTTTCATCCTTCGTTGCCCTTCTTCCTGTCTGGTCGTGCATCCGTATATATAGATTTATCAGTGGCATTCCTTTCAGGAGTTTACTTTTATACAGGATGAACACAGTAAATGCCATACACTAATCCCAGTCTCTTGCAGGTGTGATGTTCCTTGTGCTTTACGGTCCTTTTGAGTCCATCCGCAGTGTAGAGCCGTTCCTCCGGAGGGTCGTGGACGGTCGTGGTGACCGTGAGCTGCTTCTTCCGACCCGTGGATCCGGTGGTGTGGCCTTCGACCGACTCCTCTCGTCACCTCTCTGCTTGCCCCTCTGATGCTGCATGACCCTGTCTGCTCAGTCGAGAGTGGCTGGACCGGGCCGCACGCTAGGGTCCTCAGAAGCAGGCAGTGGGTTCTGTGT